TCTGAGTATTTCACTAGCTTCCTAATGAGTCTCCTTGTCTACCCCCATCAACATCCCCAACCTGTTTTCTTACAGCAGGCAGAGTGAACCTGTTAAGATACAAGTCATATCATGTCCCTCCCTCTGTAGGAAACCCCCCAGTGGCTCCTATGTCACCTGCAATCTGGCCTTCTATCACTGCTCCCACTCTCCTGGAGGGCCCTTCCCACATAGCCATACGACTTGCTCCCTTCACTCCTTCAGCTCTTTACTCACATGCCACCTGTCACGTGACTCTTGTCCTAGCCAAACTAGCTAAAATTGCAGCCCTCTCCTATCTTTTCCTCTCTGACTTCAGTGCCTTTTTCACCTTTGTGTTCCCTATACTATATACAGTTTATTTTTTAGATCTGTGAATTGCATTTCTCTGACTGGAATATAGAATGTAGGCTTCTCTGGAGCAGGTATTTTTCTTTCCTTCACATTCTCTAAAGCCAAGAATAGTGAGTTAATAAATACTTATTCACAGACCGATGTGTGTGAGTAGGCATCCTTCCTGGATCCCACCACATCTGCTGTCAATTGATTTAGGCAACTTAAAGACTCTAAACTAGACTGATGCATTTTTATTACCATGGTTCATATATGTTTGATTTCTTCTGAAGCAACTACTTATACCTTGCTTTCGCTCCAGGCACGTTGGCTCATGCCTATAATCTCAGCACTTTGGGAGGCCGAGGTGGGTGGATCACTTGAGGTCAGGAGTTCGAGACCAGCTTGGCCAACATGGTGAAACCCTGTCTCTACTAAAAAATACAAAAATTAGCTGGGCGTGATGGCAGGTGCCTGTAATCCCAACTGCTCAGGAAGCTGAGGCAGAAGAATCACTTGAACCCGAGAGGCGGAGGTTGCAGTGAGCCGAGGTAGCACCACTGCACTTCAGCCTGGGTGACAGAGTGAGAGACCTTGTCTCAAAAAAGAAAAAAAAAAAAAAAAGAAAAAAGAACTGGTCAAAGGTTTTCTTCTAGAGAAGTCCTCTAGCTTACTCCAGCCCATTAATGATCTCTTCTGAATACCGCCCAATAACAATCTTTCATCGACATTTATGTATACTTGACGTCTAATGTTCTGAAACCAACATTGATTTCTTCTTACTCAGTTAGTTCTGTCCAGCTAGATTGTTTGTTTCTTGAGGTCAGGCAGCCAGCTTGGTATCTCCCTCAGCATCTCATGTAATGCCTTCATGCAGGGCAGCTTTAACTATTTTGACTGATAGAACATCAAAAGACTGTAGACCTTGGATTCTTTTCTATAACATAACTGCATGTTTATCGTAAATTAATTTGACTTGAAAGAAATAATATCCCTAATTCTAAAGAAATGCATACACATATTCTGCATTATGTTCATATTAAGCACAGTTGCCAGGATGAAGATGAGAACACTGTGTCAACTCTGAGAAGAGTCCAGTATTTTGGCAATCAAAGGAACAACAGCAAGATTATCAACTTCATTTTGTTCATTTGTAAGACAATAAAATTAATACATCAGAATTTAAGAATTTTCCTAAAGATAAAAAATAATCCTAGAGTCTTTTAAGATAAATTTTATTTACAGTTGGTTTAAAACTTTTTTTTTTTTTTTGAGATGGAGTCTCACTCTGTTGCCCAGGCTGGAGTGCAGTGGCACAATCTCAGCTCACTGCAACCTCCACCTCCCGGGTTCAAGCAGTTCTCCTGCCTCAGCCTCTCAAGTAGCTGGAATTATAGGCACACACCACCAGGCCCAGTTAATTTTTGTATTTTTAGTAGAGACAGTGTTTTGTCACGTTGGCCAGGCTAGTCCGGAACCCCGGACCTCAGGTGATGCACCTGCCTTGGCCTTCCAAACGGCTAGGATTACAGGTGTAAGGCACTGTGCCCAGCCAGTTTAAAACTCTTTATATTAGGATACAGGAAACAAATTCTTATCTTGCTTGTCTTTTTAGAAGAGAGGAGTGGGACATCCCATGTAGCCACACCACACGTCAATGCTAATGATAAATGCCCTAGCATAATTTTGATAGAATCCGGGTGTAGTTCTAACTACGAAATGAAAACATTAAAAGATTCAAATGGAATCTTGAACTAAATAATCTTTAGAAAATTAGTACATAATTGACAATATAACCAGAATAAAGAGTCAGGAATTTGAGAACAACAATTTAAAACTATGTTTATATGGCCACCAGTATATTCCTTTACAGAAACTTTTTTTTTTAACAATAAAGCTTTAAAAATAGAGATTAGTAACAGCTTATTTTGATCCACAAATATTGTGTCAAATTTCCTGCTTGACATTAGAGACACAAGTGCAAGCCACAAAGATACCATCTGTTAAAGACTGTATGCCACAATTTCTTCTCTGTAGTGAGAAGACATCAGAGCACAGACACTGGTACACTTGGGTCTACAAATCTTCCTGAATATAATATTAAATCAAGTGAAAGTAGAAATAGAGGCCATTTCTTACACCATAACAAACTTCTTTTATGCTACTAAGAAATTTGACAAATTAAGGTTTAAAGAGACATCTTTTTCATGTCCTATCTTGATGAAATGAATATTTAAGGAAATGTCCAGTCTACAAAAACCAAACAATCAACCCTCAAAAGAAACAGTAACTACAATAACAAAAATTACCTTTAAACACTACTTTTTTTGGCTTCCAGTATTTCTCCAGGTTTTTAAATTACAATCACATGCAAAGTACACACCCAAAATATTGAATGCAATTGTGCTTCATGCCAAAGCAGAAAAAAATCCCCTTTACAATTATGTCTGATTTGTTGTGCAGAAACAAAAGAGAAACCGTCAATGTAGGGAGGCGACTATAATTAAGACTTATTTACCACTATATTAATGGAAAGATGAATAGTTGAAAAAGTAATTTTATTTTAGTTTTCTAACCAATTATCTATCATTGAACTAAAAGAAAGAGATACATATTGAAAATTTAAAGAAAAGTCCTTTGGAGATACTCTTTTAAAAGTCTAACTGCTTTATGAGCATCTATGTCTTCAGAAGGCACTATTAAAATAAAGTCCTTATACCTTGCTTGGCAGCATGCAGGTATCTTCCAGATTATAATCTATCTAGATGGGAGTTTATTAGCATAATCTCAAACCAATTTACAGCAAACAAGACTTTGTTTTCTTGTATTTTATTTTTGTTTGTTTGCTGGATTTTCATATACTATCAAGTATACAATTCAAAGTAACAGTGGAGTCTTCCTTTTAATGCTTATATATTGGGTGAAACCATGTGAAGTCATTGATATTAGACTGTTTTTGCCTACAAAATGACAATTTCATATAATTCAACCTAATATTATCCTTTGTGGATAATAATTTTACTCTTCCATTTTATTATTCTGTTTTGTAGCACAGCTATTAAATGTCATGTTTGTTATACAGAATTGTCTTCTCAACATTCCACATACCCCATATATTCCTTGAGTTATGGTCCTGTAGTATAAATGTATACTATAATAGATACATACAATCTACAATAGATATGTACAATCTATACTACTAGGGACATCATGTTGTCCCTTGCTAGGAGGCAGTTATGCCCACCTCAATAGCACCGTCTGTCAAAACTGTCTGGATTCCTCACGTAATGAGGCTTTGCAAAACTTGAAGAGTACTGGCAGGGACAGTGAGTCTCAAAAGGTGGATCAAATATTTTTAATGATCTATGATATTTTCTAGGCCAGGAATGTGGAATTTTAGTCTACTGACTACCTCACAAAGAGGCAGCACATCTCATAAACCTCCTATCTTTTTGCTCCTTCTTGCTACAGAGGGAAAAAACTAACTCATCAGATTTTGTAAATTTCTACAACATGCATTTGGAGTAATTCATTGAACATAAATGTATTGAAGACCTACTATAAGCCAAGTACTGTGGCAAGTTGTACACATCCCATTAATTTTTAATTTCTTAAATCATTAATGTAGCAATGCTGCTAGAGTTATAAACATGAATACTGTAAGCAACAAGACCACAGACTGGTTTGAAGTCCTAGTGGTCACCAGTGATTCTTGGAATTCCCTTTAACAATCAGCCCATTAGTTACCCTCACTTGGTTTTTGTCACTGAAGCTCCTAGTGAGAGATCTAGGAGTCTTCTCTGCTGTGGGATTAACAATGAAAGGACCCTTGAATAATTAGAATGCTTTCTGGTACAAGATAGACTCAAAATGGACTAGTCTTCAGTAGAATTCCTCTATAATAAATACTATTCTTGAGATCTATTAGAGAATTTGTAATATCATAATGTCAGGGTTTTATTTTGGCTACAAATTAAAAATGTACCCCAAATATTTAACTAAACTGACATCATAGCAGCAGTGTCATCAAAGACCACACCATTCTTCCCATTTGTTCTTACAATTAGTTTTGCACTGACTGGCAGGATCAACTGTGGCATTGGAAAGAGTAAGCAGAATCCTAAATGGAAAGGCTAAAATTCTTAATCTTTGAAGATTTTGAAAACACTGAATCAATAAATTTTATATATGTAATTTCTATAAACAAAATTGCAAGTAGTAGAAATACTTAATTTATGGATAATCCATCAAAAGAGATTAACAAAGGGCAGTGCTGTTTTTCTTACAGCTTCTAATGAGAAGACTAGAAGTAAGTTTAGCACCTCCGAAGGACAAATAACACAACAGGGAATCAGCTCTGCAACAGCATGTGAAATGTCACCTGGGTGGCATCTTAATACATGAGACAGTGGGTATGGATTAGACTGAGCTTGGGGACCTCAAAGTAAAAGCTTTCCTGGAAGTTGGTGCTGCTCCCCCTTGTGGTAAACTATTTAGATGCATTGTAAATATGACTACAAAGTTCTTCCTATACTAAAATGTTAGGCTACATAGCCCACGTTTTATCTCCTCCCCCCACATTTTTGAAGGAAAATGGATTATGCCAAATGATTAAATGCCACTTAAGTGTCAAAAAAACCCCAACTTACTGTGGTAGAATCAAAAGAAAGTATATCCACAACAGGGGGAGTAGAGATCTGCAAATCGATTACCTCAAGCTTTGGATTAATCTGTGTATATACATAAAAAAAAAATTATGAGATTTTCATACCATAAGAAACCAAATGCTATTTGTAAAAACCTACAGGGCATTTTCTAATATATTCTAAAATTAAAATATATTGGTATATTTATTACTATGGATGACAAAATTTTAAGCAAAATGTTAGCCTACCAATTCTATCGACGTATAAGAAAAGATCATTTTGACAAGGTTGAATTTACCCCATAAATAAAAGCTTTTCACTTTAGAAAATCAATGTAATTTACCTAAAAAGGAATATTATAAATATAACAAATGACCCACCTCAAAAGATGAAGAAAAAAATCCTAGCCAGTTCAGTAAGAAAAGGAAATAAAAGGTATTAAGATAACAATTAGAAAGAAATAATATTCTCATTCATATATAATGTTATCTAGAATCTATTGCTAAATCATTAGAATATTCAGAAATTAATAAGATTGTTAGTCCCAAAATCAATATATGAAATCAACTGCATTTCTGCATTCTAGCACACAGTTAGAAAATGCAAAATTTTAAAGGACGGCATTTACAATACCATAAAAGTTTAAAAATACATCAGAATAAACACACAAAAATATGTAAGATCTTATGGAAAAGAATAAAACTTATGTTAACATTAAAGAAACCTGTATCATAAAGAGCTCAAAAGCAGAGTGCCGTATATATGGAAAATAAATATATTCAGAACATTAGTAATGAGAAAAGTAGAAATTAAAGCAAAATACCACTTAATACCTATTAGACTGCAAACACTAGAAAGCTCAATGATGCCCACAGTGTTTGTAGCAGCATTGTTTGTAATGGCCCAAAAAACTATTGGAAGTACCCTAACTGTCTATCAACAGTAAAACAGGTTGTGAGAATGACTACAGTGACAAATTCACTGGAGTGCAATACAGCAATGAAAACAATTTATGAATGCATGAAATCTGAATTCATATGTATGAATCTCAGGACTTCAATGTTAAATTAAAAAATCAGTTACAGAAAAAATATATTCAGTATAATTTCATTTATATAAAGTTCAAACTCATTCAAAATTAAACAATAATTATAGATTCAAATATATAAAGTTACAAAGAAAAGCAACGGAATGAATACCTAGAGTAGTGACTTTGAGGGAGGCTATTTCAGAATTTGAAAAGACAAAAAAATTGAAAATAAAATGGAAACATTATGAATACAAAGAAGTAAACAAAGAGCAACAAAGATAGCAGAGCTTTATATCAAATGAACGCTTCAATATAAAGCATTATATTGTACATGGTACAATATAAAGTACCAATAAGTGTACTAAAGAACCTTAAGGAAGAAACTATCGACTGAGTGCTTCTCAGGGTGTCCAATCTTTTGCTTTCCCTGGCCCACAATGGAAGAAGAATTGTCTTGGGCCACACATAAAATACACTAACATTAATGATAGCTGATGAGCTAAAAAAAAAAAAAAAATTGCAAAAATATCTCATAATGTTTTAAGACAGGTTATGAATTTGTGTTGGGCTGGATTCAAAGCCAGCATGTGACCTGTGGGCTGGACAAGCTTGGCTTAGATAGTGAGAAAGGCTTCCTATGGAGGAAACATGGCATATGATGGCTCCTTAATAAAAGATCTAGAAAACAAAAACGGAGAGGGAGATGCGTAAAAGAGCATTCTTCATGGCATAGTGGAAGAACGCTGACATACTTTCACACAGGGGTAGAAAGAAGAAGGTTGTCAAGGTTCAAATTGTGAAGGGTGAAAGAATTTGGGAAGGCACAGAAAGTTGGAAGCTAAAATGTGCTGAATTGAAAGAGTAATCTGACAGACACATAAAGTATCATGAATAAATTAGGGATGGCAGTGAGGACACTACAGTGTTAATCCAGGTCTCTAGTGATGAAGTCTTGGCCAGTGATAAGAGGGGTGGAATAATTTTTAAAGCACTTACCATGTTTGATGGGTATGGCTGTAGTTTTAGAAACAGTAAAAGCATTTTATAACTATCCAGCCAATGTGTTGAAGGGGAGGTATAACTGCTGTGCTATAGTAAAGAAGGAATAAAGCTGTGCATGGTGAGGATGAGGGACGATCAGCTCATCTAGCCAAAACCGTTGTCTCTTCCTGGCTGTCCCACAAAGCAGAAAACAAACACAGCCTCCTGCCATTAACTCTAAGTCCAGAGTTGAGGCAAAGAACAGAAATGTGAGAGTGACTTGTTTTCCTTTTAATCTTAAGACTCGCTGTCCAGAGACTGCTTGCATACGTTTTATTCTTTTTTATCTACTGCCACCTAGTGTAGATAGAAAATTATTTACCTGCAAAAATACAATCTAGTTGCACCATCTGAAATTGAAACTGCTCAAGAAATCTAAATCACATAGAGTCAGCACCTGTCATAAAAAAACAAAATCCTTGACCTACAAGTTCTGATGTAATTAACAGTATTTAACTGCGTAAGTTGCTGTCACACAAGTTAAATAGAGCCGGAAGTTCTTACTAAGTAACATTTATAGTCCTTGCCATAAAAAAAATATGCTGAGGGGGTGATACAGTTAAATTCTTTGCTAGCTAACTTCCAGGAATACTAAGAGTATCTTGTAGCTCCTGATATTTATTAAAGGGAAGAATATGTTAATAATTAGAGTTGCCTTAAAATGAAGTGGGCTGCCTATGAGAGGCCAAGTTCTCCATGGCTGAACAAGGGTATATAACTGGGACTAATGAATGATGTAAGGGTTAGCCTGTATGACCTCAAAGGTACCATCCCACATCCCCCTCTGAGATTCTCTGTGTCCATGATACTGAGGAGTCCATGAACATAAAACCTCTACTAATAAATTCCATAGGCCTTCACCAGACTACAAGCTTCTGAAGGGCAAGGAGTATGCCCATCTTGTTCACTGCTGCATACTCTAAAGCTAGTACAACATCCAGCACACAGATACTTTAATATCTGGTAACAGGATAAAATGTAATTTTGTTTATATTGAAGCATTACATCAAAGTGGTTAAAACACAGAATGGAACCAGAGTGCCTGGGTTGAATGAAATTCTAGTGCTGCCACTTATTAACTTTAAGATTTAACTAACATACACCTAAATTTCTCATGGGATAATAGTGGTACTTATTTCACTGAGATTTTAGGAATATTAACTTAATTTGTATAAAACACTTAGAACAGTCTTGTATAACTGTCAGACTTTATCATCATGTAATGAACATTTACTGAGGCCTGAAACAGTATAAACATATACCACAGTTAGAAGTAGAATACAAAATGGATAGACAAGTGGTCATTTTAAAAAATCATAAATGGTGGTGTTTTCAACCTTACTAGAAGATTGAGATAAAAGCCCAATCTCAGACTTAAAGACTTAAATTGATCACTTGTACTTTTCAACAGTGAATCATGGTCAGACTATCACAAAATATTATTATATAAATATTTGGTTAAGGTAAAGGACATTTTCCTTCCTGCTAAATATCATAACAGAATTTCATATGCAATTTATATGTTAAGGTAGTCTCAAATGGCCATAAAAAACTGAAAGTCATCAGAACATTATTTTATTAAAAAATCGTTTTAACTAATTATAATCCCTGCTTACAATATTCTGCAATTCTCCTAGAATAACTATTTTGATGCTTTACTGTCATTAAGAGCTATGGCCATCCCTTAGAATGGTTCTACTCTCTTCTCATCAAAATATGTAAGAAAGAAGGGGACTGCTCAGGAGAAAAATATCACATGCACACACTGAAGGAACATCTGGTTTTGTCTAGGGGCAGGACAATGCAATTCAACTCAAGACAGTCTGAAGAAGATATAGTCAGCATGAACTAGTGATGTGCTATAGCACAATGTGGGTAGGGTCAAGATACCTTGTGTAAAAATGGGGCTTCTTTCCCACCAAAAAAAAAAAAAAGAGAGAGAAAGGTGCTGTTCTCATGTTTTTAATTAAGATGGAGTGCCCAGGCCAGGAGTACTAGGAAGGACCTATAGTTAGATAAGTAGGAAGAACTCGGGAGGGGCCTATTTCACATAGAGAGAATTTGATATTTCATGCCTTCTTTCATGTAGCCTCCTTCTCTCATTTATCTAAAAAGTAATCTGGCTATCACCCCCTCTATCCATGTAGGAATTAGTAATTTATATATTTAGTCAGCTGGTACCCAAGATCTAACACTCTGCAGGATTCCCCACCTTCAAACAAGTGAAGCGCTTAAAGCTAGCAAAGGGGTGGCTTTTGCAAAAGGCCAAACTGTTTTACTCAGCAGATTGAGATTATGCAATTCAGATGAGTCTCAAAGAAAACATAATACAAATCATAGAAATGTTATCTTGTTTCAAACCCAGAAATAAAACACTCATGGTCACTGCAGAGAAAGAAAAATTCATCAGTTCACTTAGATACCATTTATTCTACATATTTTAATAAGATCTATTTATTTTCCTTAAATCCTAATACTGACTTCAAAAAAAGATTTCCTAGTTTTAAATATTTTCCAAGTAACTGTATGTAAATTTGCCTAAAGCTTTGAAAAAAACTTAATCTACTGCATTAGTGTTTCAAAATAAAGTTTACTAATGATAAATGAACACTGCACAACTTTTATTCTAACTATTCCATTCTAACTGAAAGTTTTGAACTAAGTAGTCTTTGGCTTTGTGAGGGATCCATATTTATTAATTTGAAGTAGAGTCTTTAAAACACAATTTGGTACTTAACAATTATTTATTCATAATACTAAAGTTGTTCCCTGTCTAGAAAGTTCATAACCTTGACTTTTTTTATAAGAGATTTTCTTTTTCTCTTTTTTTTTTTTTTTTTTTGAGATGGATTCTCACTCTGTCGCCCAGGCTGGAGTGCAGTGGCACAATCTTGGCTCACTGCAACCTTCCAGGTTCAAGCGATTCTCCTGCCTCAGCCTCCTGAGTAGCTGGGATTATAGGCACGCACCACCACGCCCAGCTAATTTTTGTATTTTTAGTAGAGACGGGGTTTCACCATGTTGGTCAGGCTAGTCTCGAACTCCTGACCTCATGATCCACCCACCTCAGCCTTCCAAAGTGTTGGGATTACAGGTGTGAGCCACTGCACCTGGCCCAAGAGATTTTTAAGGAAAAAAAAAAAAAAGAAACAATTACAACAATTGATTGTTCACATATAGAATCCTATCACTCTTCTGGCATTTTATATCACAGGGCCTCAAAGTGTTTTACAAAAGCCAGTCATGTTTTATACTTAATTTAAGCAGCCATGCATGTTTACAGATAATTTAAACTGTGTACACAGAGGCTGACTATGTCAAGGTCACAAAAAAAATTCAGTCACAAGGTTCAGCATTTTGTATAGTGCAATTGAACTCTAATTCCATGATGAAGAAAAGTCAGTGTTTAATATAAATTTTAAGGGTATATGTGAAAAATTTGTTTGAGAGTGGCTTTGCATGGCCTGGGTCATCCTGACCCAGCAACGCAAAACAACCCAGCTGGTTTAATGGCTTTTTGGCTGTACCATAAGAGCAGAGCCACTCAGGCAACTCCTTGACATTTTAAAGAAAGCCTAGCACTCTGAAATGAACTGGGGCTGACAGTAAATCAGAGAAAAAAGGGCTTGAATCTCTGTGCTGAGGTGAGTGTGGAGTCATGGAAATATCACTTAATTCACGAGGAAAGCAGTCTCGGAATCAGCCTGCAGTTCTGCTACCCAACGCCCTGGAAAGTGGCCAAATGGATATTTCCCTCCTGATCAATCCCGGCCAAGCCACAAGATGACAGAATAAAAACACCAAGAGTTAATAAAACCAACTTGGATAATACAAGAAAAGAATACTTAAGTTAAATTAAAATATATTTCACATGTATTTTATATGAATTTATATGATCACAGGGGATAAGAAATATAACTAGAAACAGAAGCAAAAAAAGTGAAAACCAAATTAGATTACATTTTTTTCTTTAAAACAGAAGAAAAATGATAACACAGCAAGTGGTACAAAGAAGTGGTAACATGATTAATACTTTAGAAGAACTGAAAAGATTGTCAGAAGTTGGAAAAGACAAAGATAATAGCCAAGAACTGAAAGTCAACACTACCAAGGAAAAGCAAAGACAGAAATCCCAAGATATGGCTGGATTAAACAAAATCTAGAAAATAGTTTAAAAAACAAAGAACAAAAACATGTACTTAGATGCACAACTGGAGACTAGCAGAAGTGCCTGAGATAACAGCAAAGACCAAGACTAAGGAAAACGAAATGAAAGAAGTGATGTGGGTGAGGGTACATGGAATCACAGCATGAACAGTGAATGAGGCTACTGTGCATTGCCGCTCAGGAACACATCTCAAGAACTCAAAATACCTAACTCTAAAAGTAAAGAGACTGCCAGTGATAAAAATTCAGATGAACAGGTAATTTCTGACGTCAGCTCTTAGAAGAGAAATGGCTGAAGAAGAATCATGCAAAATAAGAATAGGCTAACATCGGCTAAGCATCTAGCAAAGATAAATCTCTCTTTGAAGACAAAAGAACACTTAAATCATAACATTTAAATTCATAGGACCTAAGGGAATTTGTCAACAAAAACCTACAATTAATAGATAATTATATATGTAAAATATATACAGGCAATAAAATTGTCTTAATTGTTAGATTTAATCACCAAGTCTCTTCTTTTACCTGTCCATAAGATTTTCTTTTTGCTATAAAAGTTTTAAGCTACCTATTTCAATAACCATTATAAAAATTTTTGCCCTTCAGCCTTATTCTCATGACAGCCATCATATGACCTCCCTAAATACACCTAGAATATAAAGCTAGTTCAGACTTCACAGTCACCAGAGGCCTTAGATTTAATTTCTCATTTCCTATTACTATCAACACCATTTTTTAGCTTTATTTCTAGGCCTTCAAGAAACAAATATAAAACTTTATTACACACTATAGTGAAAACAATTGTTTATCAAAGCGCTGCTGTTTTAAGGCAGCACTAGGTTTTATATATAAAATATAAATATATATATATTCAGTAATTTCAAACACCTCCTTGACCAAAAGCCTCAAAATGTACACAAAATGTAGGACAAATATGCACAAAATACTCACTTCTACAGTCTCAACTTTTTCCTCATGGGGGTGTGGTGTTCTTGGGTAGATATCAAGAAGATGTGGTGGTGAATCAAAATGTAATCTTTTGAGATTTCTTTTGTTAAGACCTTTATAAGGCAATTCATCGAAGTTAGTCCTCCATAATAAGACCTATGAAAAAAGTCAATGATGTTGCAGTTATTGACTTGCATGTACAAGCAACAGAGCTGATTTTAAAACCCATAATATACAGAATTGTTCCCCAAAGTAGAAAGGGTAGATATATATTTCAACTATGTTACTATTTCTCAATATCTTTTTTAAGGTGTGATTGAGGGAGAGATTTAGCATTTTGAATTGCCTTCATGTCTGATTTAAAATTCATATTAAGAAAATATCTGGTTTTAAAATCCTCTTTTTGTTTTTTGGTCAAAGTCCAATTTCGGACTTGATCACTTTATTCAATAAATCTGGCCATGAATGGCTTTTGGTTATTTCAAATAAATTGCAGATTTGCTATATAAACGACTTATATTTACCGTCCTCAAGAAGCTTAAGATTAGGCAATGATTCAAGCAAAAGTGCTATAAAATTACTGAAGGTGGACACATAGTGTCAGTTACATGTATAGTTAAGTGTAAAATGAGCAAAAGAAAATAACTATTTGAATTCCCAAAACTTAGAACTGGCTCTGTTTCAACTATGAGATATAGCAGACTTCATGGTACTGATTAAAATATAAGCTCATCACCAACCATCTTAACATATATAAACTAGCTGGTTATAAAACTCTTAGCTGAGGTCAAGGATTCTTTTACCTTAACCAAATCAAAGAGGAGCTGAAAGATTTACAAACCTGTGTGTCTGCACCTCCTGATGCAAATAGCTCTCCACCTTTTGAAAATGAAACAGTAAAGACAGGTCCCTGAGAAATAAACGGAGATAAAGAAAAAAAAGTACTTGGTAATGCTTTCTCATGGCCAAGAAGACTTTGGATGTCAATTTCTCATCCTAATTTATGCATACTACTCATGCAATAAGTCTGATAAAACATATCAGTTGCTAGCAACTAATGCTGGCAGAGTAAAGATAATCAAAGAATCAACCCAATCATATTAAAGCACAAATAAATGATACTAAAAAGTACTAAAAATTAATTTAAAAAATAACCTTCTTCTCCTTTCAAGAAAAGCTTGTATATATGTAAGTTCATAAGAATTTCTGTTAAGACTTTCTGGCTTTGGACTCTGTATTCAACCAATCACTAGCAGAAACTGAATGATAAATACGTGGGTAATGGGAATGAGGCTATTTACATAAAGTCCATTTCCTGATCAATGGGCTTCACTGAGTTCTCCCTTCACATAGGCAACCATAAACCACTAAAAGTTTAAAGAGCAGAACAGATAGGAGGAGAGCTGTGAATGATTAAAGTCAGTATTACAATTGTGAGAAAGATGAATTGGAGTAAGATGCTTGGTTGGAGGCCAGTTAGGAAGTTACTGTAATTATCTAGGTGAGAGGTAATGAAAACCTGAAATTGAGCAGTTACTGCGGAATTAGACAAGACTGTGCTTGGCACAGTCACAAGGTGGATAGCCTCTAGGTCAACTTTTCAGTCCAGATAAGAGTAAGTATTTCTTATCTCAAAAATATTAATATATACCATATGTTTTTAATATGTCCTTAATCTACACAAGAAAAGTTTTAGGAAAAACATCTTGTATTTTCCCAAGTAGACTATCCCACAGATTTAGGTTATAATATTAATAGCTTCATAAACACCTTCACTTCCAGACTAAAATTCCATCTTCATGTAGTGTTTTCCTACTGAAGACTGTGTTTATCTTTTTTTCCCTATTATTTTGTAGCTTTTTCATGGATATTTCAGTCCTTGGCCACTTTTATTGGTTGTGTTTATTCAGCCTAAATCCATGGATATGCATATATTTAAGCTGGTTAGTGTTTATTTCTGCTTTACCCTAACACCACTCCAGAATAAATGATAATGCAAAGCAGGAAGTCAGGCAGAACCTGTGAAAAAGAAACTCTTCTAGACCACAAAGCTCATTCTATTTCTAGATATAAACAGCTTATACTTGTTAAAAGGAAGTACCTTTAAAAAAAAGAGGATGCATTCTAAAAAATTCAGAGAAGTTTGAATGTTTTCTGGAAGAAAAGAGTAGTTTATATACCCCCCAAAATTTATCTAGGCCGGGCACAGTGGCTCACACCTGTAATCCCAGAACTTTGGGAGGCCGAGGCAGGCAGGCAGATTACCTGAGGTCAGGAGTTCAAAATAAGTCTGGCCAACATGGTAAAACTCTGACTCTACTAAAACAAAACAAAACAAAACAAAAAAACAAACAAACAAAAATAGCTGGGTGTGGTGGTGTGCCTGTACAGAAGGCTAAGGTAGGAGAATTGCTTGAACCCAGGAGGCAGAGGTTACAGTGAGCCGAGATTGTGCCACTGCACTCCAGCCTGGGTGGCAGACTAAGATTCTATCTCAAAAATAAAGAAAAAATAAATTTAAAAAATTGATCTATAATGCATTATATGCTGGCGGTGGTGGGGGGGGGGTTGTCTTTGCACAGGCTCAATAAAAGGCACCCCTCTTACCTACTTGGTTCTAAACCACTTGAGAAATAAGACAAGGGAATATGGCATGTGAGAACTGAAATATCACCTTTCTTTCTAATAAATGCTTGTAAAAAGAGAATGTGGCTTTTATGTTTAACACAAATAGGCTTTCTAGAACTGATGCCCAGAATGAGTCACAGGCAAACTAGACAAGGGCAGGTCTCCCCACAAGGAATATCTGAGAAAAACAGTGAAGAGGGGCTCACTCGCAAAGGCAGGAGAGTAGAAGGTGTTCGGCTGTGCTTACCCAATTTCTCCTAAACCCACCAGCAAATTAGCAGAAGGAGTGAGGGAGCGGTGTGAGAGGCTGGGTGTCAGGGCTAAGCGGGACAGCCTCCACATGAAGGAAAGATCTGAAGTACGGGATCTACTTACCCATCACCATTTACCGAGTCAATCTATACAACATACTGATAAAGACAGCAGTAGAGGATTCATTTAATGGCCATTGAAAGATACATATTGATTTTGACAAGAATTACAAGTAGTAATATTTCTTTTTTTTTTTCTTTTTTTTTTTTTTTTGATACAGAGTCTTGCTTTGTTGCTGGGCTAGAATGTAGTGGCACAATCTCAGCTTACTGCAACCTCCCCCTCCCGGGTTCAAGTGATGCCCCTGCCTCAGCCTCCCAACCAAGTAGCTTGGATTACAGAGACATGCCACCACATCTGGCTAATTTTTTGTATTTTAGTAGAGATGGGGTTTCACCATGTTGGCCAAGATGGTCTCGATCTCCTACCTCAGGTGATCCGCCCGCCTCAGCCTCCCAAAGTGTTGGGATTACAGGCGTGAGCCACCGCACTTGGCCACAAATAATATTTTTAAGAGTTGCTTCCAGAGGATAAAAACAGCCATGGGAGTAAAAAATTTTTATGATAGCAGCAAATATGGGCTATGTATGGAAAAAGAATAAAGGGGTATAAAAATGGATCAAAAATTTAAAATATATATTATTTTATATTTTTATATATAAAAAGCAAGAATCTGAGTGTTAATACCGTATGTCCTTGAAGTGTATAGATGAGCCTTCCTTCTAAGAGGTCCAGAATCTTAAGGGTACCATCTGAAGAAGCTGTGATGAGGTAGTTACCCGAAGGATGGAATGATATGCAATTAACTCCACCGCTGTGAACTGATTTGTAGAAAATAAAAGCAAAAAGTTCAGAGAACAATTCTTACTTTTAAAGATACCCCAGTACCTTATTAGCAATAGGTTGCAAATAAGAACACTGTTTCCACAACAACAAAATTCTATATAGCTCACTTTTGAAACGAGTATTTTGGCATCACATAGCATTAAGCTTCCAGTTAGAGAGCCAGAATAACTTTAAAAATGAGACTGTGCCACGGAAAGGTAATCTTACTGACCACATTACTATAAAGTCTTTGGAAATATTGCCAATAAAATTGACAGTTAATTATTGCCAGCTCAGATAAGGTATATAACCTAGCCTCAAATTAAAGGAAATAACCAATTAGTGGCTTGGGATTAAAGGGAGAAGTGTGTGGAGACACCTTTGAAAAGTACACAGTCCTATCATCATGCTTGAGAATTTGTTTCGGGACAGCATCCTTCCAACAGGAGGCAGTATAACACAATGATCAAAAGTTAATTTTTCTATGCACTGTGTAAGCAAGAAGACCTAAGTAGTTCTATTGATTATTTGAGCAAGTTAATTACCCTATTTAAATCTCAATTTCCTTATCTTTAAAATGTAATAATGATACATCCTAGGAATATTGTTTAGATTTGGCACAGTATCTGCTACATGGTAAACACTGGGTAACCTACTATGTTTAATAATAATTTGGATTTAATATAAATCCAATATAAACCAAGAAAATTCACTTCTCTTTTAGTTCAGTACATAGGCATAGTAGGTAGTTGTTTTCTACCAATTATAACACCTATTTGTGCTCACGTAACTCCCTGTGATTCAGAATTCAGTCATTTCTGTCCCTGACTTCTCACGCAATGCTGACAACCAGAGTTTGAAAATCTCATAGCAACTTCTTTTTTTTCTTTTTTTTTTTAACCAGCCTTCACATCATTTTTAAGGTCTCTTCACTTCCTGCTTTCCTTGGGCTTCTGAGACCCTGCTGTTGATGGGAGCTAATTATACTATTCTCTAGCCTGTTCCAAGGCAGCCCATGACCCCAAGTAAGAGAGGGCCAAACCACACCAACAAGGAGAATCAGTCCTTCCAAGAGGAGTCCATTCAGTAACTGAATTTTTTGTTAGGAAAATTGTTACCTTGGTAATGCTGTAGTAATTTGTTCACTCTTACATCCCAGACTTTCACAGTTTGATCAGAACCTGCTGAAGCTATGCATGTACCACTAGGGTTAAAGTCCACAAAATTTGCAAATCTAGGAGGAAAGAATAAGATGACCTAATATTTCAATTACTTTTTCTTGTTGTTGTTGTTGAGACGAAGTCTCACTCTTGTCACCTAGGCTGGAGTGCAGTGGCACGATCTCGGCTCACCGCAACCTCCGCCTCCCGGGTTCAAGCGATTCTCCCACCTCAGCCTGCCAAGTAGCTGGAATTACAGGCGTACACCACCATGCCGAGGTAATTTTTGTATTTTTAGCGGCAACAGGTTTTCACCATGTTGGTGAGGCTAGTCTCAAACTCCTGACCTCAGGTGATCCGCCTGCCTCAGCCTCCCAAAATGCTGGGATTACAGACGTGAGCCACTGCACCCAGCCATATTTCAATTTCTTTGCTCTCATTTCTTTATTTAAATTGTTATAATCAAATATCTCCTTAGAAAACTAACCCACATAAGTGCACAAAGAAAGTGTACTTACCCAACGGAATCTGAGAAGTTATTAACACATTGCTTATTTGTGGTATCCCAAATTTTAATAGTTTTATCCTCACTACATGACACAATTAGTCTTCCATCAGGTGAAAATCTGGAAAGAAGAAGAAGATGTTTTATGTGAAAGGCTCTGGAGAGTCACCACCTCACCTCTACACCACAAATAAATCAGGCTGTAAATATTAAATACCAGAGACCACTGTTACCATCCCATGCAGTAAAGTCATATTCTGCAGCCAAGATCTTCATCATGACAAACAACACTCACAGACCATTAAAAGGTCAAAATATGCTATGTAGACTAACCAAGTTGCTTTTTTCCTTTTACTCTTTTATTTAAATAAGTTTTGTTTTATTGCATCTGCTTTAGGGTTTTGATTCAACTCTGCACTCACTCTAAGCCAAGTGCCTTGTATTTTGAAAAGAACTCTCTTCTATTTCTGTCACTAGACAGCATTATCCATATGATCCAAGAGAGGGCCTTTATTACTCATCCTACCAAGCCTGCAGTGAAACTTTTTGTAAGAAAAGGAATGGTGTGTTGAGAATTAAAATTAAGTGACATCACCAACAAAAGAACCTAACTGCCCATGCCTGTAACTTCTTGGACTTGGGGAGGCCAGAGAGCTCCAATGGACTGAAAATAGGACAACTCATTTATACAGAAGAGAACAGAAGCTCCTTCATGGAGAAACCTATCATCCACATGCCCCATTAAAAAGCAAATGAGAAAAATCCTCAGACATCTTGTCTACTGCTTTTATGCTGTCTATTCCTTTAAGATCCTTCCCAAGGTTCTTTTTTTATTTTTTGGCCACGATGCCTTTTAAATATAAATAGAAGAGCAGGAGACCACAGAGAAAATAAAAACAAAATTTAGACTATTAGAAAACTATGAATAGTATTTTTATTATATTTTAACAGTAACAAAAACCAAAAAAGACAGATTTAGGTCACAGAATATGTTTCAATTTTATTTGTAGTTTCCCTCTATGCCCAGAGTAAAGATTACTATAAGTCAACAATTAAGGGTGTGGAATATAATTGAAGATTTTTATTTTTGTTCTCTCCCTACTCCCATTCTTAAGGCTGACCTAAAATTCTTTGTGACAGAAACTTTGCATCTGGCATTCACAGATTCACACAGAAAAAAGACACACAGAAGCATAATTAAGTTCCATGTGAAATAATATTTAAAAATCAAGAAGGCTTGGTGCAGTGGCTCATGCTCGTAATCCCAGTACTTTGGGAGGCTAAGGCAGGCGGATCACCTGAGGTCAGGAGTTCGAGACCAGCCTGGCCAACATGGTGAAACCCTGTCTCCACTAAAATAGCCAGGCATGGTGGCAGGCGCCTGTAATCCCAGCTACTCAGGAGGCTAAGGCAGGAAAATCACCTGAACCCAGGAGGCAGAGGTTGCAGTGAGCTGAGATTGTGCCATTGCACTCCAGCCTGGGTGACACAGTGAGACTCGCCTCAGAAAAAAATAAATATAAAAAAGCAAGAAAATAACCTTTCAAGGAAAAATTTTCCATGCTGGGTAGTTTACCCTGATTTTACGGTAAGTAATAATTTATTAATATTTTCTTTCAGAAAATGTGAGAAAAATTCAAATATGAAGGCAGTATTATAAAAAGGCTCCAAATAGAGGAAGCTTATATATAGACCCTGGGGAAAAAAACCTACTCAGATAAACATGGCATAATAATTATAAAAATCTGGCCAGGTGTGGTGGCTCATGCCTATAATCCCAGCAGCTTGGGAGGCCGAGGTGAGCGGATCACCTGAGGTCAGGAGTTCGAGACCAGTCTGGCCAACATTGTGAAACCCCATGTCTACTAAAAACTACAAAAATTAGTGGGGCATGGTGGCAGGTGCCTGTAATCCCAGCTACTCAGGAAGCTAAGGCAGGAGAATTGCTCAAACCCGGGAGGCAGAGATTACAGTGAGTTGAGATCACTCCACTGCACTCCAGCATAGGTGACAGACTGAGACTCTGTCTCAAAAGAAAGAAAGAAAAAAAAAAAACTGTAAAAAACTAATGCAAGGAATCAAATTGTGTTACTTACTAAGCTTCTTTTTAAAAAATATTACTTAATGTGACTATGTTAAGTAACCAGAATATTTCTACGAGAAGACTTAACTCTTACATTTCAAGAAAGCAATTATGGAGAAAAATATTTAATAAAAGGAAATGTTTAGATAATAACAAAGTATAAAAGTACTTACCCTATGACATCAGCCAAATTACTACCACCACAATCACATCATTATCCTACCCATATTCCTTGAGCATATATGTCCTAGAATGGTTCTTAACACATTACATGTATCATCTCATTTAATTTTCAGCATAACCCAGTAAAACAGGTGCTACTGCTTGTCTCAATTTACAGTGAAGAAACAGAGGCACATAAAGGATAAGTAACTGACAATGTTACCAGGTCAGTGGGGAGAGGGGTCCGGATTTGAATCAGGCAGTTGTTTCCACAGCCAAACCTCTGAACCACTCTGCTTAAGTCTCTGACAAAAAGGAAGTGTCTTCTACTGGCCCAAATTACTTGGAGCACTGGAAGTTCTGTGTCGCTTCTGTGTAAACAACAGAAGGTTCTAAAGTGGAGAGGAACCACGAGGCAGTGCTGTTAGGAAGCTATACACCACCCTGGAATAAACATCTGTGTGCTGCCATAAGCTGTAGGTAAAACAGGCATGGTCCCTGTCCTTAAGGAGTTTGTGGGAAAGATTTTCACCCACTGATTCATTCAAAGATTCCCTGAGCACTTGTCAGTGCCTGGCACTGGGCACTGCCGTGAGTAGTAGGACTACAGCTGTGAATGAGACTGGCAAGATCCCTGCCCTCATGAGGCTTTTGTTCTAGGGAGAAGGGAGGGCACACAAAAAACATAATTTTAGAAAGTGATATGAAAAAGGGTTGTAACAAAACAGGTGCCAATTTGTCACCAGAAGCTCCATAGAGGAAACAGGATTTTAAAGAAACTTGCAAATGAGGAAAAGCATTATCTTGGTCAGCTAAAAGTGCCTCCTGAGCAGGAGGGGCCGTAGCTGGGAGAAATTTCCCAGAGCAAAATAAACGAAGGGGATGTGAACCTCAAATGAGTTAAAGTACAGGCAGTGGCTGGGAAGAACCTGGTACCAGAAGGAGGCGAGGTTTCTACCATCAGCTTAACAGAAACGAAGGGGACTGAGGTTAAGGCCTTCCTCCTGCTCTGGTCACTGCATTATAATCCTGCATATGCTCTCTGTATGTGTTTTTTTTGCATTTCAGGTCGCTGAAAGTGGGAATGATGATTTCTATTTCCTCCTCCTCCCTTTTATTTTTAATTAGATACATCAAAAATAGGTTAGCACCAATAAAACAGGCTTCTCTTTGCCCTGACTTTGATTAGGAAAGGTTAGTCCTTTATTGTCAGGGCTCAAATAACATCTAACTAGACTTTTAAGAATTTAAAGAGGATATAAAATTTCTAAGACATTAATAGATTTCTGACTCTCTTAATTTAGTACCACCCAACTGCCTTTAAAAACGTCTACAAAGTGTATCACCAAGATGGATATTACATTAGTCAATAGTGAATACTGGATCAGCAAACATGGACATTCGAGAGTTTGAGAGGCATATGAGAAGTTAGTTGAACTACTACTGAATTCCTTAAACTTTACTGGTATTCATTCAAAAGAATGAGGAAATTCTTTTTTTTTTTTTTGAGTCGTAGTCTCGCTCTGTCGCCCAGGCTGGAGTGCAGTGGCCGGATCTTAGCTCACTGCAAGTGCAAGCTCCGCCTCCCAGGCTTACGCCATTCTCCTGCCTCAGCCTCCCGAGTAGCTGGGACTACAGGCGCCCGCCACCTCGCCCGGCTAGTTTCTTGTATTTTTTTTAGTAGAGACGGGGGTCTCACCATGTTAGCCAGGATTGTCTCGATTTCCTGACCTCGTGATCTGCCCGTCTCGGCCTCCCAAAGTGCTGGGATTACAGGCTTGAGCCACCGCGCCCGGCCTTTTTTTTTTTTTTTTTTTTTTTTTCTAGACAGGGTCTCACTCTGTCACCCAGGCTGGAAAGCAGTGGTGCGATCTCCGCTCATTTCAGCCTCGACCTCCAGGGCTCAGGTGATCATCCCACTTTAGCCTCCAAAGTAGCTGGGATTACAGGCTTGTGCCACCATGCACGGCTAAATTTTGTAATTTTTGTAGAGACAGGGTTTCGCCATGTTGCCCAGGCTGGTCTTGAACCCCTGGGCTCAAGCAATCCTCCTGCCTTCGCCTCCCAAAGTGCTAGAATTACAGGTGTGGGCCACTGTGCCCAGCCTAGAATGAGGAAATTCTTGAACTTATTTCTGGTAAAACTGATTCACATGTCCTTGAAAGTAGCCCAAATTATATAACAGGAGTCTTTTTAACTTGGAATCTACAGAGTTCCTGTAACTGTATGTAAAAATTTTATGTCCATATTCATAGTCATAGTTACTTGTTCATTACAGAACCAAAAGCATCCATGAACCATTAAAAGTCTTACAGTGCTTTCAAAAGGCCGGTGTGGTGGCTCATGCCTGTAATCCCAGTACTGTGGGAGGCCGAGGCAGGCAGATCATTGAGGCCATCAGTTTGAGACCAACCTAGGCAATATGGTGAATCCCCATTGCTGCTAAAAATGCAAAAATTAGCAGGGCCTGGTGGTGCATGCTTGTAATCCCAGCTACTTGGGAGGCTAAGGCAAGAGCATCCGGGAGGCGGAGGCTGCAGTGAGCTAAGATCGCACCACTGCACTTCAGCCTGGGTGACAGAGTGAGACTGTCTCAATAGACAGACAGACAGACAGACAGAGAGACAGACAGACAGACAGACAGCTAGATAGACAGATAGATACTGTCTTAAAAAATCAAATTTTCCTTTGACAGATAGATAGATAGATAGATAGATAGATAGATACTTTCTTAAAAAATTAAATTTTCCTTTGGCTATTTTTTTTTTTTTTTTTTTTTTGAGACGGAGTCTCACTCTGTCACCCAGGCTGGAGTGCAGGGGCCGGATCTCAGCTCACTGCAAGCTCCGCCTCCTGGGTTCACGCCATTCTCCTGC